CAGCGGTGGTATAATCACTACACTAAAGAGGTAGTCTGAAGATAACTTCACTCCGTCAAATTAGATAATCAATCAACTACACCTCAATCTCAACTCAGTCGGGGACAACTATGTGAATAGTGAATACTATACATGTTTCTTCTCTCCATTCGGTCACATTTCAGTCTAATTCTACTAAAAGTTCTGTCTTTAATGCGAGTTATAGGATTAGTAAAACTAAACATTCTCTTAAATCACGCACTTCTCTCTGCATACAACATAGACTCCATAAAATTACAACAACAACATACTCAGTGTAATATCACAAATCCTAAGGAGGGTAGAGTGTACGCAAACCTTACCCCTGCCTTGGAGGTAAAGAGGCTGCTTCCTATAGACACTCAGCTCAAGGAAAAAACAGTCCATAAACAACATGACAAATCATTCTAACCAGTAACTACAACAAAACAATACCATAATCGAGAATTCAAACATAAAACTCAAATCATTGAAACCAACAATTACAATATGATAATCCAGAATTCAAACAAAAAGATCAAATCTTTAAAAACAACAATTACAAATCTTAAAAGGGGTATAACCTGAAAACGAGCAATAGCATCAGCAGCAATGGTAGTATAAGCACTCCCCATATGAGGAGGAGCATTAACATAATAAAGTGGAGTTGTGAGTACAAAAGAATCATCACCCCCAACCCCATTTGCCAAAAAACCATCTTTATCACCACCACTACTACTGCTGCTGCTGCAAGTGCAGTAAAGGGCAGTTCTTGAAGAAGATGAAAAAAACAATTCTTTGCCAAAACTAATTCGATTCTTGAAAAAAATCCTTCTTGGGTTCAACGAATTTCGTAAAGGGGCTGAAGATAAGAACCAAAAACTGCTCTGAATTGAATGTTGAACTCTACATGCCATTTTTTTTCTTGAATTTGACTAACTGTGTGTGAAAAAAAATGGATTTTGTGCTTCTGGGGTTCTTAAATTTGGATTCAATAAGATGTAAATAATGAAGAAATTTGGTGTGAGCTGAAAAAAAAAAAATTGCAGAAAAGTGGAAAGGAAGAAGACGAGCCAAAGCTTTAAGATTAGGGATGGACTTCACACTCCTATATTTTTTTATTTATTTTTAAAAAATGGAGTAATAAATATTACTACTATTATTTCTGTAATTTGTTAAAATTTATAAGCTGGTTTAACTATTTATATTTTATAAAAAAAACTATGTCAAACTAGCTTTTTAACTATTGGTAATTAGATTCACTATTTTACTAATACTAAGTAAATTAGCCGTGCTTCGCACAAGATTGAACTTTTTTATTAAGCTTACATATGATTATTCAGTAATATCCGTATTTTTGATAAATATTCTATATTATCAATAACATTTTATCTTAAGGCAAAACATTCCTCCGAAATCTTAAAGTGCTATATTAATAACATAAGCATAAACTAATGACTATAAAAAAAACATACATAGAATGAAACAGAAAGGAAAAAATTTAGCCCACTGAATACACAGTGTCCCTTTAAGAAAATTATTCACCTCTAGTACTCGAGGTTTAAAGAAATAGATCATCTCAGGATAGAATAATTTTATTCACCAGTGTATTGATACAAATACAATGGTGTAGTAAGTCACTCAACATGAGCAAAGTACGCAAATATTTATTTGTGCAGAAGAAGAAGTTCAGAATTTTCGTTGTTTTAAAATGAAATAAATCCCTCTATTTATAAACAACAAAGGGTAGTGGCAACAAATGTTTATTGTGCTTTATTGAAAATGTCACAACTCTTCGGAAAAGTTACAACCCTTCGACAAGGTAACAACCTTTCATAAAAGTCACAACTTTTCGTAAAAATCGCAAATCTTCATAAAAATCACAACTTTTCATAAAAGTCGCAACCCTTCATAAAAGTCACAACATTTCATGAAAGGTGAAGGCTAGTTTTGGAAATAAATAAATTTAAAAAGGAATCCTTGTTTGTGGTGGCATCACGTAGGCAGGCCTAGGGTTCTATTTTATATTTGTGGCGGTGCCACATAGGCAGGCCTAGGATTTTTTATTTATTTTATATATATATGATTATTCATTAATAAGTCAAATTAGAGTCACATATCGATCTATTCAGTTCGATTTTAAAGTTTATCGATTTGTAGACATGTTAAATCATTAATAACTATTAAGATATTGACTTATCGGTTATTGATCGTTATAATAACGAATGTACATGAGTTAATAGATTGTATCTTTCTAAAAAACAACACTGACACATTGTAGAATAATAGAAAGTTTGAGATTGTCAGAAATAAATATATGAAACTAAATTTTAAGTCAAGGACTTTATATACCGAATGGTATAAATATAATTCATTCATTTATTATCGAGTTATCGGTTAATCTGTTAAGAAAAACCTCAAACCGATAATAAAAAAATAATCAAAACTGTTAAATCAATAACCCATTACCGATGAACCAATAACTTTCTTTCGATTCGAATTATCGATTTCAGTTTAATTTTGAACCAAGTCAAATGTATCTAAAGTGTAGTATTTAGTTAAGTTTTTAGTTAAGAAATGGAATTGATTAAGTATTTATTTTATATAGACTATTTGTTGATACGTTTTTTTTAACTTATTGATAAGAAGAGTTTGTAGAAAACAATAACATAATAAATATAATTTCATAACTTAATTCAAAAGAAAATAAACAAAGGAGAATTGGAAAGAAAATAACGTTTTTTATTTTTATTTTATAGAAATAGAAAAATAAAAAAACACTAAAAGATAGTAGTAATAATAAAGGACAGAAAGCAGAATGATTGAGTAAAAGAAAAAAATTGATTTTAAATTATGTTGAAAGTTACTTGATACAAAATATCAACAATTCCTTAGTGGTAAACTAGTGAGTCGATTATATGTATCTTTAATAATTATTTTTGTTTAGATTTTAGTATTTTTTAAGCCATTATATTATCGCAAATTCGCGATGATACACATTTATCTTTTGATAGTAACTCTAGTCAAATTTACTTTTGTGATTATATAAATGAATTTGATTTGCCTTTATTTACAATCGATAAATATTTAGTATATTTTTTTTTTATAATAAGTATTTAGATTATGATAATGTCATGTATCCAACGCTTTAATGTTTTTTATATAGGTAATGCCCTTGACATAAGATAGTCTTCATTTGTTATGTATTTTTGAAATGATCAATTTTGATCTTTTATTATTTATTTTTTGTAATTTGATTCTCTCTAGTTTTCACTCTCAAAAACATTAAATGGAGATCATTATTACTCCATCGTTTTAGCAATTGATTCTAATGACTTATTCTCATACAATACGATTGTAACAAGTGATTTCAATTAATTGTTCTTATTAGTTAAATCGAAAATAAAGATAAAACAAATATATTATATACATTGTCTTTGTTCTATTGTCACATGAATCTTTTTTTTTAAATAATTCTAAAGTTGCTAAATTTTAATTTGATGTCAAAGTGGAATTTGAGAGCCTTTAGTGAATCAAATATCAATTCAACACTTCAAGTAAAATCCTTATTAATCTTCAGTTATTCACTTTTCAAATGAAATAGAGATGTCAAGAACTCATTACCTATTAAATAAGCTACAATTTAATCAACATATGTAGACTTATGTTCATCAATAATTTAATGATAAAATATTTGAACAAGAATGTTACAATTTTATAAGAAACATATTGTTGAATCATCTTTTGATTTCAATCTTAATTTATTGATACAATTTCAAATTAAATCACTCTCAAACCAATATAATACTCTATGTGTTAGATGTTAATATGATTTTTCTCAATTGTGGTTATTTTTTACAGGTAAAACGATGATTTATTAATTCGTTAGTGCATTATTAAACTTAGAATTTTTACCAGAAACATTACAATCATATTTATTCCTGAATCTCACACAACTCAATATAAAATTACTACATGATCAAATGATCTACCTCTCACGTTTATTTTTACCACTTTATTTTCACCAAACCACAGACCATCAACTGGCCATTACACCATGCCTTAACTGCTATAATACTTTATGCAAATTATTTAAGTGCTAATTTTTTCTTACAATCAAACTTCGTTATAACAATATTTCATTATAACAACATGATTTTATCCAGAAACAAATTTTCTTATTATATTTTTCTTCTCTATAATAACATCAATATTCATTTCAGCGTTACTTTATTTGTAAAATTATCCATGTGGCTCTATATAATAGTCCTACTAAATATTATGTAATAATATTTTATAAGAAACATATTACATATATAAACATAATATTAGAATATTTATAATTATCATCGTTATTGTCATGCACATAGTAAAATTCAAATACGAATATTCAAAAGATTTTTTACATATATTTAAATGATGTCTATTAGTTATAGTCATAACTTCGTTACTTATTTATGCTTGCCTTTTTTTTTTCCTTTTCATGTTCATACTTTTCTATTTATTTTTATTAAACTGACTAACAAATACAATCCTTATTCTAAATACACAAAATTATTAAACTAGAATTTTTACATACTTTTATTTATAACCGATAAATAAAGTTCAAACATCAAATATCTATACCTCATAATAATCAAGTTAATAATCAGGAAATATTCAAACAAACATTGTCATTACAACTAGGGTTGACTTGTAATATCTTTAGATTGAAAACATTTAAATATTAATTGGCTTCAAAGAGAACTAATCTATAGTAAGTAATTAATTACACTAAATAAATAAAAGTACTCCACGTCACTGATCCGCGTGCTTCTATCTATACATATCGATCCACCGTTAGATACACATTTCATCGAGCGGCTCATATTAAAAACAAAAAATTCGCTCCAAAAATCGAAAACAAAATTCAAATTCTACCGCCAAAACCAAAAAAAATCCCCAAATTCGAAAATAAAAATCTCTATAAAACCCTAACCTTAATCCCTTTGATTTACATCACAAATCAATTCAATCTCTTCTCAATTCAATTTGATCTCTGAAAAATGTCTGGCCGTGGAAAGGGAGGCAAGGGTTTGGGAAAGGGAGGAGCAAAGCGTCATCGGAAAGTTCTCCGTGATAACATTCAGGGAATCACGAAGCCGGCGATAAGGAGGTTGGCAAGAAGAGGTGGAGTGAAGAGAATCAGTGGATTGATCTATGAAGAAACAAGAGGTGTTTTGAAGATCTTTTTGGAGAATGTGATTCGTGATTCGGTGACTTACACTGAACATGCTAGGAGAAAGACCGTTACTGCTATGGATGTTGTTTATGCTTTGAAGAGACAAGGAAGAACTCTTTACGGGTTTGGTGGTTAATTTACTATATTTTTGCTTTTTTTTTTCATTGTTGTTGTTGGGAAATGAAATCTAGCTGGTGTTTTGGTTATAGTTTTATTTAGATGAAGATTGTGAGATCATTGTAATTGATGAATTTGTGTTAAATGAAATAGATCTCATTGATATTTGGATAAAAAATAATTCTGTTTTACATTTTCGTTCATTGGTGTTTCAGATATCACCTATATGAAATACTTCATCTTTCATTTGTTCTATAAGTGTTTGAATTTGTTTGTGTTTTGTTATTTGCTATAATTAGCTGAACTCTACCTCCAAAGGTAGGTGTAAGGTTTGTGTTCTTGAAACTTAACTTGTGGAATTATATTAGGTATGTTGTTGCATTTCATTTTGAAGAGCTTGTTAGAAATTATATATGGGAACCTATTTGTTAGTATAAATGGTTGTTTTTGGTGTGTTATCAAAAACTTCACTGATGTTTGGTGTGGGACTGTTTTTCTGGATGTTAAATCCATTTCTGATGTGTAGATACACAAGTTTAAGCATTTCCATGTATACCTAGAGATTGCAATGACGTAGATGGGTTTTGCAGAATGGATTGAAATGTCTCCAAAATGCTTTGCTATGCCTAGAAGAATCACACCGACGTTGTCCCTTGTGGTGGCTTCATAGTGTTTTCTGCAGTGTAGTATTAGTATTACTATTATGTTCAGTCTTGCTGTTTGAGAGAAAGTGAAGGTTGTTTTGAGTAAATTATAAGTTCATTTGGTTAGTCGTTTTCAACTGAAGTATATAAAATTGCTCAATTTGGTTTTCTTGGATCTAGAAAATGCCAATGAGTCGTATTAGGCCATACTCATAGGTGATGTTGAATGTCATGAAAATGTTGTTTTTAGAAGAATGCTGAAATTGGAACAGTCCCTTCCCTGCAAAACAAAGTGTAGGAGGCACAAGTTCTGCCTTTTCGAGAATGTCAGCAATGTAGCACTCTTCTATCACGAAGGCTCTAAATCCACATTATCAATCCACTTAAGAATACACAATTAACACATGTCCGTCGATTGCTATATGAACGAAAACAACTCACCCGGATCGCAATCTTGAACCGTCCATTCAGAATTTCAAAAAATCAGTAAACCGCCAAAAATTTCCACCCAAAAATTCAAAAAAATCCCTCCAAAATCTCCTTTATATAAACTCCCGCCCCTCCATTTTCTCTTCACCATCACTTCTCAAATCAATCCATTCTTCAAAAAAAAAAATGTCTGGCCGTGGAAAGGGAGGCAAGGGTTTAGGAAAGGGCGGAGCAAAACGTCACCGGAAAGTTCTCCGTGACAACATTCAGGGAATCACTAAGCCGGCAATTCGGAGGTTAGCGAGAAGAGGTGGAGTGAAGAGAATCAGTGGGTTGATCTATGAAGAAACAAGAGGTGTTTTGAAGATCTTTTTGGAGAATGTGATTCGTGATTCTGTTACTTACACTGAACATGCTCGGAGAAAAACTGTTACTGCTATGGATGTTGTTTATGCTTTGAAGAGACAAGGAAGAACTCTTTATGGATTTGGAGGTTAAAAATGGTGAATCTTTGATGTAATTGACTCAATTTTCTTATCAATGAAATTTTTCGGAATCTGGAATCATCTTCTTCTTCTCTCTGATTTTGAATTTCTAGCTGTTTTTTACTTGATACCATTTTTGCATTTTTCGAGCTTTAAATTTGCATCTAAATATATCAATTTTGAACTTGAATAAGATTAAATTCTAAATTGATCTCTACTCAGTGAGTTAATAAAATTGAGATGCGAAAGAATAAGGTATATGATTATGGTATAATATTGAAATAGATCAATAACATTTTTATCGGTATTTCATTTGGACACGTTTTAGTGCTCTCGATTAATTTGAAGATCTTGTTCTCAAATTTTGAATATAAAATTATCTTTAACTAGGTAATTTATTGTGAACTAACCTTTCCAATAATCGATTGTTAAAAGAAATAAAAGAGTAAATTTTTGTAGGTTTTTAGAACATTTTTATAGAAATTAAATGATTTGACATTATCATATATTTTAAGAATTGTAAATATATAATTAACGATTAAAAATATCTTGATATCTAATTATTTTTATCTTTTACATAATTTATTATATTATATGTTTGATGATATAATTGTCTTTTTAAAATTGAGCGAATAAACATCACTTTTTTTTCTTTTTTTTATACATGAAAAATATAGAATCTGATAATTTTATGATTAGAATAACTATCTGTGTAAAAAAATTTATGTGAAAGTTTTTGATAATCAATATTAGTTATAAATAAGTTAACGTCATTAAAAAATGTACACCGCAACAACATAAATAATTTTTTTTAGATACAATCTACTTGAGGTCAAATGTTCACCACTTTTCATTATTATTACATTGTTACTCTAACAAAAAATTATAGAAGGAGAAAAATAAATTTGGAACAACAACAAAATAATATTGTTGGCCCTTATAGAAATTCATTCTTCATTAAACTGCGGAAGGCCATTTTGGATGCTTTATCAATGCAACTTTACGACTTTTTCAGAAATATTTATGTATAATTGCTGCATTATGAAAGTACACATAGATCAAAATGTTGGATTCTAGATTAGTGTTAAAGAAATATTTCAAACATTAAAAAATTAAAAATGAGTCTAACCTAGATAACTCAAACGCTCAGCAATGACTTGGGACATGAAGGATACCAAATCTATGTTATTAGACATATCTTTTGTAGCTTAAGATATTACTTTTATTTAGAGTAGGTTTTGTTTCGTATTCTTCAAATTAAGTTTGCCGAAAATAGTCATAACTTATACCAAAAATATTTAGGAGAGCCGAATGAGAAGGAAAAAAAGAAAAACATTAAAAGGACAAAAAGCTTGGTCATAGTGAGATCATATACATATCTAACAAAAAATAATCAATACAATTTTAAGGAGACAACAAAACAGCGAGAAAAAACAAAAATCATTCTAACCAGAAAAGTTCCTGTGTTTTGAAATAAGATACCTCAAAAAATTGACTAACACTTCAATCAACTTTTAATCTTGGCCAAACACATACACAGCCCCTCAAACTTGGCCCAAATTTTCATTTTGGCACTCCAACTTAGCCTTGTTCCATTTTAACCCTTGAACTCCATTTTTTCTGTTCCATTTTAACATGAAATACTATTTTTATGATTTCTTTATTTTATATATATTCTTCAAATGCAACTTCTTATTTTAAATCGACACGTGTCAATTAATTTTAGTTAAAAAAATTAAAAATTAACAAAAATAATTCTTTTTAAAAATAATAATTTCTTTTTAAGAGTGTTATGTATTTTTGTGTGAAAAATAACCGACGAAATTGTGTTGGTAACATTTTTTAGTAGTGTTATTAGCAATGAACAAGAGTCTTTTTTTACTCGTATTGAAGATGAGTTTTTTTATTCTATTGATTTATATTAAAAATTAAAAGTGAGTATTTGCGTTAAATTTAGATAGCCTAGATGATAAGAAAAAATAAATAAGTAGTGTTATTTAATTTAATAGAATGTTTAAGAAAGAAAATCAAAGAACTTTCGTCAATTTATTTTCATGCAAAAATACAGAGAAATCTCAAAAAATAATATTATTATTTGAAATTTTTTATATTCGTTTGCGAATGTTTAATTTTTTTATGAATATTAACAGGCACACGTCTATTTTTTAATTTTTTTTGTTAATTTTTAATTTTTTTAACTAAAATTAATTGACACGTGTCGATTTAAAATAAGAAGTTGCATTTGAAGAATATATATAAAATAAAGAATCATAAAAATAGTATTTTGTGTTAAAATGGAACAGAAAAAATGGAGTTCAAGGGTTAAAATGGAACAAGGCTAAGTTGGAGTGCCAAAATGAAAAATTGGGCCAAGTTTGAGGGGCTGTGTATGTGTTTGGCCTTTAATCTTTAAAGTACACATAATATCCATTGATAAAATTTATTAAAAATCGATAACAACATAAAATAAAAAAATATGGGCATGCAAAGTTATTAACTCTCAGAGGATTTTCTAAAGAACACAAAATCACATCATTGTATGTGAAGGAATAATGTTGTTGATGAAGAAATTAGGGATTTGTAAGAGCTTTTTTTTATTGAACCTTCAACAATTTCAATAGAGAAAACTTGTTTGAATATTCAATTAACATTTGTTATTTAATCTGTACTAACAAATAATTATAACAATAACTTTGCATAAGCATAAACAACCAAGTTTAAAGCATATGCTCAAAAATAACAATTAATAATATAAGTATAAATTAATGATTGTAAAAACATATCAGGATATACAACAATAGAATGAAACAGAATGAAAAAAATCGTGCCCACTGAATGTACAGTGTAGTCCTCTATTTATAGACATCAAAGGATAGTGTGAAAAAAATGATTATTGTGTCTTATCAAAAAGGTCACAACTCTTTGAAAAAGTTACAACCTTTCGGAAAGGTCACATCATTTCATAAAAGTCGCAACTCTTTATAAAACTCACAACTTTTCATAAAAATCACAATTTTTCATAAAATTTACTCCCTCCGTTTCACAAAGAGTGGCCTAGTTTGACTTGGCACGGAATTTAAGAAAATAAAGAAGACTTTTGAATCTTGTGGCCCTAAATTAAAGTTATGTCAAATGTACAAAATTGCCCTTTAATCTTGTGTTCTTAAACATGCCACGTGGAAAGTTGAAAGTAAAATGTTACCAAAAAAGGAAAGGGCCATTCTTTTTGAAACAGACTAAAAAGGAAAGGAGACCATTCTTTTTGAAACGGAGGGAGTACAACTTTTCATAAAAATCACAACTTTTCAAGAAAGGGGAAGACTAGTTTTAAAAATAAAATAAATTTAAAGAGAATCTTGACTTGTGGTGGCGCCAACGTGGCGGGCCTAGAATTCTCTTATATATATATATATATATATATATATATATATATATGATAGGAAATATTTAATTTATTTTATCGTGAAATAAAATTTTCCTACACACTAGATGATAAAATTTATAACAAACTCAACATGATCTTTTCACGTTACATTTATTTATATCCACTCAATTTATGTCATATTTTATCTTTTTGTCTTTTTTTTTTTGTATTTTTACAACAATCACTCATCATTAAGATA